CAATTGCTTTAAAGAAAACTAGTTTTAGTTTTTTAAGTAAATTTTATTAAATAAATATTAAAATTTAAGTCATTATCAGATTAAGTACTAAATAAAAATATATTGAGAATTGTTGGGAGAGTTGATCCTTGAGTTGATCGTTGAGTTGATCCTGTCATCGATGGTTTGATCTATTGATTGGTCAACAATGCAATTATCATACAATACAAGTAAATGAAGAAATGGATCAAATGAAAGGCCAATCGAATCATTGAGAATTTCATCAGTTGTTTCAGATTCCCTCTGTTGTGGACTTCAGTCGCGTCATAGAAACCGATGTTTCCCTTCGGTATTGAATAGTATCTGACATTAAGAAAGACAACACACATATCAGTCACAAGAGTTGACAAAAAAACATCACTATTTGGAACCGACTTATAGCCAATCCATGACAGCATCGGTCCGTTCAGAACGAATAGAAACCAATGGTTTGTGAATAAGAGAAGTATTACCAGAATTGCATACGATATCAGTTCCGGAATCACCCACTAATTGATCCAAAAACAAAGACAATACCAATGGTAAGTCGATTGACACAACCATACAATGCATACCTTATTTAATTTATTACAGCACTGATGAGCGTTCAGATAATCGCACTCCAAGTCACTCAATGTGATCACCTGTGGATCAAATGATATGATTGGTTAGAATCGGTGATCAAATGGTAAACTATTTGTAATTCAATTACGATATAAACGGTTAGAAAAAGTAGAGCCGAAGTGTCGAAGAGTGCGAACACGAAGAGACTCGAGTCCACAGACATCCCAACCGATGCTCACCCGATGGCAGACAAACACCAGACAAACCACACGATTATCACCAGACAATCAGTGACTCGTGTGTCGTGTCATTCACTTAATCCATGAGACAATCGGTGGACGAAAGAGCCGTTCAAAAGAGTGGTTGTATTGAGAGTTGTGTTGAATTGACTGCAAACCAGTCGTCACTACCAGTCGTCCAGTCTTTGCCTCAAAGTG